GGGGGGGGGGGGGGGGGGGGTCTGTAGTACTAAATACTTTCTGTCCTAGTGTGACAAGATTATAATTCTGCATGAAGCTCTTTCCTGCCAATATATAAATATTTATTTGCATTTTCCTCAATAACAAGGCAGCAGGATGGAAATAAAAACATAGGGATTCCCTCATCGTTCTCTCAATCCAGGTGATTCCATTGTAAGGAAAGGGAGGGGGACCATCATTCCCCAACTTGTGGCACTTTGTTCCTCATCAGTCCCGGTCACTCCTTTTCTTTAGTCTTGGCGATGATCACCTCGCCCAGGCTCTCCAGGACCTCCCGCTTGTAGTCATCGAAGTCCCCTTCTATCTGGTTCACAGACTGGTCTTCCACCACCCACAGCTGGCAGTTCGTCTCCGTGATGAGACGGGCATCATGGCTGACCACGATCACCGCTGGGGAGAGAGGAGGCATTGTCAGTGACTGCTGCAAGCCCTGCAGAGGGCATTTGTCTAATGTATAAGAGACCGGCCATCATTCTCATTTTACAGTACATCATCCTGTTGAATCACTGACCTAAAACAAAGCACACAGGTCTGGATCTCTGACCTTACCCACGTCATCCTCATCCTGGGTCAAAAACTAACCGGACCGTGCAAGATGGATGAGTAGCTTGTACAAGTCTGCCCCCCAATCACCCCCAGAGGCCCACACGCCTGTATGTTATGCATTTTTTTATTACTTACCTTTTCCAGATGTCTTTAGGCCGGTCATGTGACAAGTGGGATCCTCTTGTGGTGAGCAGAGGATCTTCTGGTGGTGAGCAGTTCTCGATGATGCAGAAAGCGGTGCCGAGTTAAAAGGAGAACTATGAGGTGAGTGATTTTAGGAGAACTATGGGGAAAAGCCCTGACCCCATAGTTCTCCTTTAATGATATCAGCACCAATGCATCTTAGCAGCAAGTTCAGTGTACCACGGAGACACCCCCTTAGGCAGCGGGTCCATATGGCCTTACCTCTACATAGTTACATAGTTGAATAAAAAGACACCGGTCCATCGAGTTCAACCTTTGTGTGTTTGTTACTTAGATTACCTGTACCCCTGTATATCTTGTACGCTGCGAAAAGTATCTAGATCTTGAATGATTCCATACTCTCAGCTGATACCACTGTCTCTGGAAGGGAGTTCCACAATTTTACATCTCACAGAAAAGAATCCCCGGCGCTGCTTTCTGCCAGTTTCAGGTGGTGGCCTCTCGTCTTCTCGCATGAACCGACAATAAACATTGCTTATTATCCAGTCACCATTAAACTATTTGTACATGAATATCACACGTCCCCTCTCCGTCTCCGCTTTTCAAGAGTGAACAAGTATAACGCACGCAGTCTTTCCTCATAGTTTGTCCTCTAACCCCTTTATTAGGTTTGTCGCCCTTCTCTGGACCCTCTCCAGCTCAAGGACCTCCTTTCAGAATGTAACACTCAAGACGTCTCTGGATAAAAAGGAATAACTGCCCCAGAGAGGTGGCGGGTATTGCAATCTGAACTGCTCATTATAATTTTTTAATCCCATGGGGAAGCTTTTAAAAAATGAAGTTTTAGTCGTGTAGATTGTCTCCTTCAAGTCCATTTACAATGCAAAGATTTTATCACAATCTGTTGTGGACGCTTGCCTGCTCGTCTTCTGTGAGATAGATCACGAGTCTACTTGCTGAAATGTTCCAAAATGAGAACTAAGTGAGAGTTTTGCCTTTACAAATACACGATCAGCCTTATTGTAGCACCGAGTGTAGTGTTGTACTATACACTGCATCCTATCATCAAACTTCTAGACATCCAGCACTTGCAGTGCAGCACAGACGCAGCAGGGATGCCATATTCATATCAACATTCCACCTAGAATTTGACTTCTGGCAAAGCCAGTGAGCCAATTACAAAGGAGAATATCTGACGTTTGGCTTTAAAGAACAGAAACTTGAAGTTTTTTTTTTGTTTTTTTTACAGTTCTTGAAACTCTGATGGTTACATATTGGTATGACAAGATACATCTACACCTGCCATCTAGGTGAAGGCCAGGTTTACCTGTTGGCCAATGAGAATATATACACAGGACCGTATCACAGAAAATAGACCGATAGTAGTAAATTCTGTTCTACAATACAAGTGCCCACTACCGGGGTGATGGGGACAATGGGGAACGTTCAGCAAGATATAGAACGTTAGGCATCATATAACAAGAAGCGGCTGTAAAACACTCACCTCCTTTATATTCATTCACAGCTTCAGCCAAAGCATCAATGGATTCAATGTCCAAATTATTTGTGGGTTCATCCTATAGTAGCCAGGAGAGAAGAACATTATCAATGAACACGTGGACAGTTTTATTTGTGGCATCTCTTCAACAATACCAACAAAATGTCACCAGCTAAATGAAGATAAAAAACTGGCATCCATTTTGTATAAAACACAGTAATGGACTGCAGCAGGCATTGCAATTAGAGATGCACTGATACTAATATCAATACCGATACCAAGTATTTGGGCGAGTAACTGTACTTGCCCAAATGCTCCTGATGCCTAGCCAGATACCGGAACGCACGGTATCAGGAAGCCGGGCAGAGAGCCATTACACGCTGCCCTGCTTCCTGATTGGCCAGGAAGCCTGCTCCATGCTCCCTCGTCACCAGGGAGCTGACTGCCCGGACAATCAGGAAACCGGGGGGGCATCTAATGTTTCACCCCCGGTTTCCCGATTGGTCGGGAAGCTTGCCAATCAGGAAGCTGGGTGGCGAGTCATTACATGGCCACATGGCTTCCTAATTGGCCAGAAAGCCGGCTTCATGCTTTTTTGGTCACCTGGTGGCGAGGGAGCATGGAGCATCAGGAAGCTGGGGGGCCATGTAATGACTCGCCTCCTGGCTTCCCGATTGGTCGGGAAGTCATTACCCGCCTCCCCGATTGGCCAGAAAGCCGGTTCCATGCTCCCTTGTCACCAGGTCGCGAAGCTGGCCGATCAGGAAGCCAGGCCGCGAGTCATTACACGCCGCCCGGCTTCCTTAATGGGACTTCCGGTATTGGTATTCAGTAGCGGCGAGTACCGAAAAAAACGGTATCCGTGCATCCATGATTGCAATACTGGAAATCATATTAAATCAGCAGAAATTCATTAACCTAATGTACTCCGAACACTATAATCATTCACGATATACCGAAGACCTGAGAAAATAAACTACTTAATGTACATCTATAGTAACACTTTCACACTCACCAAAATGAGGACATCCGGCTCTCGGCAACACAACTCGGCAAACACTACTCTGGCTTTCTGCCCTCCTGCAACAGAAATGCTGATAAGTTACAGTTTGTTCCCCAAGTAAACGAGATATCCAGGAAACATGCAGCATCTTACACTGAACACCCACCAAAACGATTGGACTTATTACCCCTCTCAGTGTTCACCTACAGTGACACCACAGGTGAAATCTGGTACTGCAGTTACTATTGGGGTGGATTAAAGTGACCCGGCCACCAACCTAAACAATTACAGGTAAAAGCACAGAAAAATCAGGTATTTTAATTGTTTTCTTGTAGCATTTTTCTCACAATAAAGAATTCATATTCATAGGCCTCTCCTCTTCTGGGATTGTCTATGATGGGAAAGCTCCTGCACCACTCCGTTCATAAACTTTTATTTCGCTGCAGTGGCAGGAGAGAAGGGGAATACTACATAGTATCACTTGAGTGACAGCTGAGTGTGCTGAGATCACATCTAAGATGGCGGCATCCTGCAGCAGTCTCAGGGCTTTTACAGGTACATAACATGTATTAAAAATAAATTAAATACACATAATCTTATGGAAAGAGATTTGTTGAAATGGTCTGGTAGCAGGGTCTCTGAGGACTTTATCCTATAGGCAGCTGATTAACACACAGTCAGGTCAGGAGCAAAGGAAATGTTTTGTGTAATAGAAGAGTCCGTGGAAATGTGGTCCTGGGTATAGAACTACAATGACTTCTATTGGGCGCAATGGACCGTTTTCAGTTTTCTGAGCCATCTGGGCAGCAGTGATTGAACAAGAACACAGACAACCCACACAAAAGCAAAGGTCATCACTTTAGTAGGCAGGTTGTCTTATACAAATGCTATTATTGCAATGGAGGGA